ATGAACGATAATGTTGCTAGACGTGAAAATAAGCAACTATTCACCAACAGGTTTGCGTGCCTTCGCAAATCCATCAACAGTGGTATGTTTTCATATGTGGTGCAGCAAAAGAACCACACGGGACAGATGGTAAATGATATGTTGCAGAAAATGGTCAGCAGTAATATTAAGTTCATAAGTAAAGGGGTAAAACATCCAGGAAACACTGGTATGGTCCTTTAAACAGTGTTGGAAATCGCTTGATACAACAAAATCGTGTAGATTTTGTTCTTAAACGTTAGTGTGTGGCAATGATATTGATGTTTTTACACTGTGGGGCACCTCACACTACCAAACTCTGCCCACTAGCCGATACAACATCAACATATCACTCAACTTGCATAAAAGAACACAACAGGGGCTTCACTTTTCAGCCTAGAAATGATCCAGATCTGGGTTCCTAATAGCAGAGAGGAAACCCAGATGAAACATAATGGCGCTCTAGTGATTTCTGTCCCTGTCAGGATGCAGGCTAAGAGTTGATGTGAGCCGTTCTGTCTACATTCTGACTTACAGAGCTGGAGCGGTAGGTGGCACAGCGCGTGCCTCGGTTTCATTTTGACCCTAGAATGTATCGTCTCTACTGTCTCTACTGTACATACAAAAACAAGATGAGAAGAGTTCAGCTCCAAGATGAGACATCACCACATGAATGAAGTAACCTTCACTCTGAAATACTTCTGAAGTTATCTTAAGACCTTCTCAATGAGTTCAGTATTACAGGTTATTTGCTCAACATGGCTCCATACTGCATTTTGGACTGAGCCCCTTCCTGTGTGTTTGGCACAGTGACTACCATGTACTGAGCTACATGTTAGTACTTTATCGTATTTAGTAGCTGTTTTGTTAATAGATTTGTGCATTCAAAAGCAAAATGATCAAAATCAACTATTTGTTTTAGAGTCAGAACATTGATCGTAAAAAAAAAGAAAGAAAGAAAAAAAATGTGGTTAAACTAAGAAAATCAAAAGGTCTTGAACAGAAGTGAGCAAAACGAACACGATGGAGACCAGCGCAAGAGAGGGCGAGGGACCCTGACATTCCCGCCCGCTCCAAAAATGAAATGATTCTTTTTTTTTTTTTCCTTTTTAAATAAACGTAAATAAAAGCATCTCACTCTTCTCCCAGAGTACAAGAGGGCAGGGAGAGAGCTTGAAAGTGTTACGTGGAAGAACAGGAGGAGGAGGCGCTAGTAAGGAGGTGGAGGTGTTCGACTCTCAACAGGGTTTGAGGAAGCGGTTTCTCACCGCGCCCCAAACCCCAGCGTCTCACCACGTCCCCTCCTTCCTCCCCTTCCTCCCATCCTCCCCTCTCTCCTTCCCTTCGTACTCCACCTTTTTTATTCTTTATAGATTTGCATCAGGTGTTCTCAGTCGTTTCGATAGTTTGACGTTGTCGACATATTTCATTTAGTGCAACAGTACGTCCCCAGATGTCACGTCCAAATAAAGCTTGCTGTATTGTCAAAACTAAATAAAACAAAAAATAAAAAATAAAATAAGAAAAGAAATGAATCCTAACCAATCCAAAAGCCTGCAGGCTGAATAATGAATCCTAAATAGTGTGTCTTGGTGGTTGTGAACAGAGCTCTATGGTTTGAAAAGAGGTGGAAACTTAACACAGGACAACGAAGTTGAGCCGTGAAGTTAGCGCCTCTGGGCAAAAATGGAAGCATAGACACAAAAGAATAGATTTTTCCCTGTTTGTTGGTGAGCTGGTGGGGTAGCCGATGAAGGTTGGTGGTGGTGTGTGTCGCCGAGCGCGTGTAAGACATTAAAAAGATTGTGAGTTATCTGGCAGTATCCTTCAGTGACTTGGCGCAATCTTTCCTTTCTCAACGGCTTTTCCCATTCTGGTTTTTATGCTTTTTTCTCCAAAAATACAAAAGTATCGTGATCGCCTTTTGAACATCTTATGTACAGGTTTTAATCTATTACGCGGCTGTGTTGCTGTTATTTTTAAACTCTCTTGCTTTTCTTTTTTGCTCCCATTTTTTTTTCGAAAGGTTCTTGGATTTTCTCCATCCTCGGTGAGTTGGAACACAGACGGAGGGGCCATAGGTTCTCGTCCTACTTTTTTCTGCTTTTTTTTTAAAGTTTCACCCAACCACATCCCCCGACAAAAAAAAAAAAAAAAAAGAACATTTAAAACCAGCGAACACAAACACACACACACACACACACCTGCATTCGCGCACACATACATAAACTGAGCGCACACGTAGCCAACAGGGAGCATCTGAGGTGTCGTGGTCAGTGCACAGGTAATAAATATTCACATTCAGAGAAGTCAGAGCTAGTTCTTGTGTATGTAGGTAGAATGCCCTCTTCTGTCTCCATGTACAGCTGCACCGTACATGGACCAACTACTGCTCAACTCTGATCTGACAAGTTTCCAACCTCAAGGTGAGAAAGGTGAAGAAGGACAGGGTGAATTTTGGCTTTAAAGCTCACGCTCATGTGTCGTCTTTGTGGGTGAGAAACCAAACCTCTCGACGCTATTTTAAACACGCAAAGCCCTCTCGTAATGTTTGGCGCTTCGTGATGATGTCATCAAAATAAGGCAGGAGAGGAGGGTCCTTCAGGGCACAGGGCGGGCCAGACGCCACGAGAGCGGGGCAGTCGCAATGACGTGACGCGACCTGAGGTGGAGGTTGTCTAAGAGTGAAGAGTCTTTAGTAAAAGAGCCCCTCAGTGGTGTGTTTGGTCACCGTGTGCACTTTAGGACCCCCTCTCGAGTTAACACCACTCCCCATTGGCCAATTTTTCGTTTCAGACAACCGCGGCTCCAATCACACATCAGGAAGACAGAGAGCATGTTTCCTCACCTAAAAAGGCAAAATGGCACTCGATCCATTTCCTCTCTAGACCAGCATTTTATCTTTCTCTGCTTGGAAAAAAAAAACAAAACAGTCTCCTCGTCATCCTGAACTCATTCAGCCATCATCACACCAAAAAAACAGAAAAAAATAACCAAAGCAACAAGACAATACCTAAAAAAAAATACTTTTTTCTTAAAAAAATAAAAAATATTCAGGACTATCAGCTCTTCTTTTCTTTTTTTCTTCTTATATAAAACACCAGCAAGCAAAAAAAAGTTAGGAATACTGAGGTAACTTTACCCTGAGGTAGGTTTTTTTCTTTTTCATTTCTTCTCTAATCTGTTCTAATCTTGGCGAGAGCGTCCAGGCGTTGACCCCGCCCCTCATTATCATACGCAGGCAGGGTCTGGAGGCTCCGCCCACAGGCCTTCGGCAGATTGGGAGAGAGAACGAGGAAGCCTGCTCCCCTTCAGTCTGATTTTACCATTGCTGAGCTCAAGGCAAGGAGCTTTGGAAGACTTTGCTTTTTTGGTTCCTGCGCTTGGCCAAGGCCAGTCCTTTCTTTATTACTACAAGCATTGGAGGCATCTTCATTTGGAAGAACAAAGATGACTTCAATGCAGGGACGGTCTCAAGCACCCCAGCTCTTCTGAGGAGAAAGCCATCCTGTTCAGACTGGCCTTAAGTATCCAGCGCCGGACAAATGCAATGAGCAGAAAGTCTCAGACACACCTTGTCTGTCTGTCATTGCCGGACTTACTTGTACAGGTGTAGCAAAACCTCACACCTGACTCGCTGCCTTCAATACATAAACCCGAGGGGCCGGGCTAACTCACATATCATATATATATAATATATATAAAATATGCCGTTTAAGGTGCGGGCCGCTTACCAGCGAGCATAGCTGCTGGCAGTTTGAACAAAGTTGTTTTATAATGGTTTTACACACGTGAGCTAAGCCGCTGCAATAGAACTGCAGGACCAGCTGCGACCTCCGCTTCCCTTACTGTCTCTTGCTGCGCCTTCCGCCACACGGCTAAACACAGACGGGGGTGCTCAGTGCCTCCCCAGCCCCCAGCCTCGTTGTAGGCTACATTATGCTACATATCATAGACGAGAGACTGGGAAATATACAGAAGACCCCTTTGTTTTTTGTTTTTTTTAAAAAAGGCAAGGCGGCCAGACGCAGCATTTCTTAACATTTACATGAAGATTATATATTTACAACCTCATATTTTCTTCTTTTTTCTTTTTTCTTCTAGTCTCTCTGCTATTCAGAGAGGTTTTTAAAGAGCAGTGTTAACATCTGCGGCCCCTCTTCTAGACTCTCATTGGCTCGGAGGTTAGGGGTGGGTGAGGCGAGCGCCAGACCCGCGACCTATCCTCCTGTGCCACTGCAGCAGCTTCCCGGCTCCCTCTCCCGGCTCTGCCTCACTGCATTCTATCAATAATAGCTCTGAATAAAACATTTCTATACATATATCTCTATGTTTAAAAAAACCACCCTTAAAATATAGGACTGACTGCAGATGGTTGGAGAGGTCTGTAGGGGCGACAGAAGGACAAACGGCCCCCGCTAGTGTGTCTGGGAAAACACAGATTTGTCCAGCCAAGCTTTTCCCCTCTGCAGTAGATCTCAGCCCATGTAGACGGGTGTAAACAACCGCAGAACTGCTCCATCCTTACATGGAGAATAACACCAGCCATGTTGTTTAAACCCCTCTGATGCAGGATCTGCGAAAGTTGCAGCAGATGAGGAGCTGGCTGCAGCCATACCAAGGCACACTATTAGGACATCGTTTCTCCTTCTCGCTATCCCTCCTTTCCTTCATCCCTCCATCCTCACTCAGTCTCTCTTCTGGCCTGGCATCTGGTCTCTGTTCTCGAGTTTCTTTTTATCTTAATCCTCTTTTTTAATTCATTTCATCTTTTGATTTGAATCATCTTCTCCCTAAACGCCTATCATTCTCTGTGGCTATCGGGCGTACTCCCTCCCTCTTTATATCTCTCCCTGTCTATCGCTGGGTCGTGTGTCGCTCTCCTGTATCCGTCCGTCCGTCTATCCGTCTGTGCATGTGTCTGTCTGTCTGTCCGTCAGGCGGGGGGGTGCCCCACGGCATGTGAGGAGGTTGCGGGAACCTCACTTTCTGCGTGGCTGGTGGTCCTGAGTCAGCCCCTGCGTAGGGCTGCCCATCTCTGTGAAGCCCTGGGGACTAGGGCCAGGACCCATGCCGCCTTTCTGTGGCTGTTTGACCTGGGTCAGGATGTCCCGGATCTTTCTCTGAGCCAGCTGGGAGGACAGAAGAAAGAGGAAAAGGGTTTGTCAAAAACTTAAAGCTAGCAAAGGGATGTTAAAGGTAGTGGAGCTTTCAATACGCAACAACTGAAGAATTTCTTAGGAAGCAAAAGATCTGAAAGGACAATAAGCACTGGATAGTATTTCACTCTGTCTATTCACCATGTGAATTAAATAACACGTTAGAGGTGTGTTTATGGCATGTAGCAAGTGGGCAAAACATAGCGTAAGTGGCAGGAAGAAACACTTGAGTATCATCTGCATAAAATGAATCAGCGTTTAGTAATTGCGCAACCAAGGAAGCATGCAAATATTAAAAAAAAAACAACGGGTCCGAGAGTTAACCCTTGAGGAACACTGATCAGTTTTCTAGGAAATGAAGTGGTCGTGTATCACAAAGAAATATATGTCAAGAATCAACCCGAGGAATCTAACCACACAACATTAGTCTCTGATAAATACTAACAAAGCATAAGCACAGATGGACCAACAAGTCCTCCAACATAAATGACTGGATCAGTTGTTTACGTCAGGATTGTTAAGGAGCAGATTAGGGTTCAAATCTTGTGTGGGACCGCTATTTTTTCCACTTAGTTTGACAGTATTTTTTGCATTTATTATCCCAAAAAATATTGTGAAAATTTAATTAAATTGTTCAACAGTATTTTATGTAAATCTCTTTTTATTTATTAATGCATTTGCATGTTACAACTAATATGTTAAATGTGAAACTGGATAACTGTTAACACTAGTTACATGTCAATTGGAATTATAACAGAGGTCCATAAGGTTTTCTTTTTTTTTGTTTAACTTAATGCCAGTAAGAAAAAGAAACATGCACATCTTTACATCTTAAGCTGTAATGAGGCAATAAAGTTGTGTGAGAGGAGGTATACCTGGCTGGCATAGAAATGTCCATTGATCTTGACGATGACCTGGTCGTTTTCATCAGGTGTCTGCTCTCTGGGGACAACCACCTCAGCTGCTGTCAGGTTCTGCAGCTCATTCACCTGCAGACACAAAACATGGCATGTTTAGAAGGCATCGGCGACTTTATGCTACACGTTTAGCTGAAGAACTGTGTGTTAAAAGCACTTCAGGGGACAGAATAAGTTATTCTATGATAGAAAAAATGGCTCCGGTGACTTACTGTCTTGCCTCCCTTGCCAATGACCCTTCCAGCGGCAGCAGCAGCCATCTTGATGTGAGTCTCCAGTTTGACCTCCTCTTTGGGTCCAAAGAAGTTCTCTTCCTTCAGTTTGCCATAGATTCTGCCCTGGGCCTGTAGGAGGTAGACAGCGGTTAATAATTCACCAATCAGAGGCCCCTAAAGATACTATGCAAAACAATTAAGATGAATGTCAATCAGTGGCCAATGTCTTGTTAGTGTTTACCTTAAACTGAGCCTCAGGGGGTCCTGTCACAATCACCATCCTCATTTTAGAGTCAGGAGCTTCAGCTGGTGCGATCTGGAGGAGGGGGGAGAAAGACATTACTTATTTTCCAAAATTTAAATGAAGTCTAATAAAAGAATTAGAAACCCTCTGTGTTAGTGCTGAACTAACTACGAGGAGAATTTTAACATTTTGTGCTGCAAATATAAAAATAAACTAAATGTTTTCCCCTCTGAAAGATCTCTTTGTAATGTTCTTTTTTAGCCCTGATTTTTTCCCCCTGTTCAACCCACCTTGATGGAGGCCCCAGCGAAACGGCTCAGCTGCTTGATGTGCTGTCCTTTCTTTCCAATGATGGCTCCCACTGCCTGTGCTGGGATGTATACATGGACTGTCTCCTGCTCTGGAGCCTGACAAAAAGCAAACATAATTTTATTACATTATAGAGAGATGTTATGTTGCCTGACCGTGTTGTTCCCTCAGGGAGGGTTTTCTTACCCCAAAGCAACCGTAGGGGGCGCCACCGACAGCATTTCCAGGTGGTGGTGGAGGCATATTGGAGGAAGAGGGAAAGAGGCCAAGAGCACCCAGGTTAAGTCCTGGGATCAGGTGAGTCTGTTGCTATGGAAAAGGAGAGTATAGGTTAGAAACCACATGTAGATTTACAAGAGTTCTCATACTGAACAGAAAACAATGGACAAATATCTTCACTGGTCATTTCAACATTATTCAGTAGTTAGACAAAACATGACATGAAACCATTTAAATAATTCTACTTTTGATCTTAACAGGTCTTTGCTATGGTCAAAGGAGGAGATAATACTTCATCCTGAGTCTGGGGTGGTGCTCCTATTGGGTAATTAGAAGAACATGTGGGAGATGATTCAGATTATGGAGGAGCGAGGTGATCGTAGAAGAAATTTTGAGTGTAGGCATGTCTCAAAAACGGATTAATACTAATCAGCATTTCTCTGCCACAATAAATGACAACACAAAACCAAGTTAGAATTACTTAATGTACAGATCCATCTTGGTCAGTGCAGCTGACGTCCTTTTCTGTCAGTCTATGTTCACTGCAGAAATGTTCCTTAAACAGGAACCTTCATGCCACTACAGGAACCAGGCTCTACATTAACTCAAAGGTCGCTGCAAATGCAACAGAATCAGTAGTAGTAGTTGAAGTAGTACGGTTTAGAGCAGTATTGTTATACATCCAGCATTTTTTCAGAAATGCAGCTACAACAGGTTGTTTTACTCATAGTTTGGCAGCAATAATTAGGATGAAGAGCCCAAGGGATTGAACAACAGATGGTCCCACAAAGCAGTTCAGGCTTTGTTCTCCAATTTGCATAAAGTGAAACTTGGAAGGAATTTGAGACTGATGCCCTTTTGGTACAATTAGCAGAATTTCCTTGTTGTCCCGTGCTCTTTAGTGAAGCCACGATAGGGTGTCCAAATCCATTTCTGTCTTCATTTAGAACCTAATGACCTTCTTTTGTTGCAATATTTTTGCTTGACAAGTGTGCTTGATAACACTAGAGCATAGTGATAATATTAGTATATAGTAGCGTACAACATGCCAGGTATCACATTGTGGTCATGTGGGAGGTTGTGTGTCTGTGTGTGTGCAGACTCACATTCATTGCTGCAATGTCATTCTCGTAGGCCTCTCTGACCTTCTTCATGATCTCCCCCTCGGCAAGACAGCACGCCTCAATAGCGCCTTTAACTGTGATGGTTCTCTCTGGATTATACAGTGTCAGGTCCTGAAGACTGCACACATTACACAGGGAGTGGTTACTGATATGCACGACAAATTAACAATGAGGTCATTTAAAAAAAAAAAAAAAAAAAAGACGACAGTGTCCGAGTGGATCAGCTGCTGTGAGGGGTCTCTGAGCATGCAGAAAACTTGTATGCATTATAAAGTATAATGAAATGTATCTATCCCATAAATTAACAAGTCATCCACCTAAGGTTGGATATGGTCTTCTAATCTAATCTAATTTAGTCTGTGTGTCTCACGGGGAGATGGTGATCTTGGTGTCCGTGTCCTGCTCGACTTTTTTCAGGTTGCGTCCCTCCTTTCCAATCAGGCGTCCAACAAAGTTGTTATGAGCCAGAATCTTCAGGGGAACCTCATCGGCACTGCGAACAGAAATCACCAGTTATTTCTAAATGTTTCACTGCTATATAGAGCCTCCATTGGGCCACGTTGGTTTTACGTAGCTAACACATTGGATCTTTGTTTAAAACCTACGTCTTGGTGTCTTTAGCTTCCTGTTGCATGATCTCCAGGATCATTCGGCAGGCAGCTGAGCAGCCCTCAGCGGTGGAGTGGATGCTGATGGGCTTCTCAGCTGCACCTGCGTTCTCCTTGCGATGCACATCAACTCTGCAATGAAGGGAAATCAAGATATTAGGTCCATAAGTTCAGTGCTTAGTCAGCTCACTGCATCAGTTTTCGTGGAAATACTTTAATATGGTATACACATGAATTCACAAATCAAGTGATGATATGTAATCAGTTATACAGATGAAAGGCAGAATCAAATACAACTGAAGTGTGTTTAATTTGATGTATGGATATAGAAAAGTGTCATTTAAAGACCCATTAAAGGACAGGCAACACAGTTCTCATGTGTAGTTGCTTCATGCTACAAATTGCATCAGTTCCTATAGAAATGAATAAATGAATGAATGAATGAATGAATGAATGGTCACTCACTTGCTCTGAGTCTGCTTGGTGATGTTACGAATGGTGGCTCCCTCCTTGCCGATGATGGCTCCGACGTACTGTGTGGGCACCAGCAGTCTGAGCGGGATGTCAGCATGTGGAGGTTTGGAGGGCATCCCGGAGCTCGGGGACCCACCGCGGGGTCCTCCACGGGGCCCGTAGCCCGGGCGACGGCCGTTATCGGGGCCCCGCTGGCCTCCCTCCAGTTCAGAGGTTTCATCTGGGATGTAGGAGACGCGCAGGGCATGGTTCTCAAACTGGTATCCATTCAGCTTCTGGATAGCTCTGGAAAGAGACGCAGCACATTAGGTCACACAGAGCAGCGGGAACCCCGACACAGCTGATCTAAGGCACCTGAATATGGATATTTAACGTCTACTGGCATTACTGAGAAATCCATGCTTTCTATGCATGGAGATACCTGTCCAGCTTTGTTACCATCTATTTACAATCACTGCATTGATTACATCTAATAATTATTATCACTTTGTCACTACATATAGTCAGATAGTGAGAGGTCAACTTGGCAAATGCATCAAAAAGAAGTGAAGCGAGAAGGGCGTACAGCACACAAGTGAGAAAGACTACTTATTTCTTTCTAATATCCAAAGTATCCCGTTATTAAAAACACAATGAGCAACATTTTTAAAAGGTTCCAGAGTGTCAAATTCAATGAAGACGCTACCTAATACTACTTTAACAAAAAAGGATGGAACATTGTTGAGCTGTGGCATAAACGTTTGTACAGTTGCAGTTCAGAATTTAAAAAAAGAAAAAGGTTAAATAACATCACTACTCACTGATTCATTGTGAGGTTATTTAGATTTACATTTCTGATCAGGCATAATTAAAAGTATCAAGTTTTTCTGGATTGCTGATAAGGAAAAGGCGACTTAATGGGTTTCAAAATTCTCCCATGTCTCTTATCCATAGAGCTCAAAATTGTTCATTTTGATCTTACAGTTGTGAAGCTGTTACTGTTCGGCGAGGTTTTTTCAAATGGAATTTTTTTTTTAAAAAAAGGGTTGAAGAGATCTGTGGTGAATACTGCATAATTACTCCACAACATTTAACTGGCAACTCTAGTTTATTTTGAGAAGCAGTACTTTCATATAAAACATGTAAATCGATAAAATATGAAGTACTGTTTCAGAAAAAACAACACAGTATTTCAACTTTGTGTTTGCACTTCAGCGATAAAATACTTTATGAACAAGGATCTTTTGCGCTGAACCTTTTTTCCTCTACTTTAGTAAAATCAAAACAGGATTTGAACTAGCTTAGTTATATAGGCAAGTGATGCTACTTTTACTAAAAAGACGGCAGTACTTCCTCCACTATCAACAGTCACATTCAAAGCGCAAGATCCAAATGGTAGTTCTTAGAAATGTCCACTAGATGGCACACGCGTAACAGAGAAAAAACTCCTGCTACAGTTTAGAAGAAAATGCTTCAAACACACAGAAGTGGCACCAAAATGTCATGATTTAACCAACATAAATACACAAATATATCTGTGACACTTTTAGGAAGCTACTAAACTTTCAAACACCCTGAATATGTAGAATCAAAAAAACAAAAGAGCAGCAGAGGAAAAGGAGGACATTAAGTCGGGACAGAGTAACTTACTGCCTGGCGTGCTCCCGGGATGCATATGTGACATTAACCACTGCAGTCTCACTGTCTGTGTTGACTGAAAGAAACAAAAGACAAGAGAGAAAGACTGTAAATACAACATACCCTGGTTTATTAAAACACTGAATAAGACAGCAAGATCTTTAGAAAGCAGTCGTTGTATCACTAAAGTCACAAAGTGGGCTGCTGCAGAAGCAGGACTGTGTCCTCGCTGACTGACTGAGATGCCTCTTTGTCCAAATTAAATTCTGGTCCTGCTTTGGTTACTGGAGGGAAACCGGAGTCATGTTTCACTCAGACACCAGCGAGTATAATCCAGAGTGCCTGTGCCTTTGTCATCAGAAACTGGACCGTTGTTTAAACTCAATTTAATTAATCATTATTGTGGTACTACTCGTGGCCACAAGTGTGATTGGTGAGTTTCTGGATCGATGCACTGACATGTATTCGTCCTGATGCAGGTCTAGAGGCCTACAAAGAGTTTGCATCTCCACATGAGATGTTTTTGGGGCTTTTTTACGCACAGGAAAATGCATCAACAGTTTGTTCACACAAGGAAAAATCTGCTTAAGATACAAAATACATCATTAGACGCTAACTTTTAAAAAACACAAAGGAAGTGGTGAGATGTCGCAAAGTACATTCGCTCTTTATTTTGCGATACTTGTGTGTTTCTAATCTACGTCTACATTGTAAGTGAACAGGATGACTGAAAATCTTCAAAGATAAATTTCTAATCTGTGCTTCTTCCACTTAAAGGGGGGAATATGGTACTTTTTTCCTTCTTCTTTTTAACTGAACTACATTTATATGGCACTTACAAGTCACTTTTCAGTACAATGCATTGTTAAAGACTGAAGAAATGGATCCCAACCACTTTTATCAAACAATGATTTCCTCTTCAAACTCTTCAGCTGGCTTCATTTATGCAGCTGTTGTACATGTACATATTGAATTTACTTAAGTAAGGTTTTAAATGCATGTCCTTTATTTGTAATGGAGTAATATTACATTGGTGTACTGGTATGTTTAATTCATCTGATCTGCACCACTACACACGTGTTAACAGAACCTGTAACATGCAAACACCACACAGGCAAATGATGTGAATGCTTTTATCAGTACACAAATTCAACACCTCTTGAGCCACAGCTGGTTAAATAAAACATAGATCGATATGCGTTCTGAAACACATTCTTGGTAGCATTAATTTACAGCAGTAATATGTGACACGTCAGATCACTAAAAATCTAATATGTCTTCAGAGGGCTTGGTTGATGTTAATTGAATATCAGAGGTACAAGGGAGTCCAGTATTTTACAACTTGTCAACATCTTCAAATCAGTTCTTGTCCTCTTGACAAAAGGACATAAAGCGCTATTCCCTTTTTAGTTTAGTTTTTTTTTTTTTTACATATTAATCACAGTGTAGGTTAGTTATGTGAACCCCAAGCTACTGACGTCAACACAGACCAACTCTTTCTTTCCACTGTATTCTCAAAGGTTCCAGGATCGATAGCGTACAGTCTGGTGCAGGCTCAAATTGAATCAGTGATTAATATCCATCCGCTATCCATTCTGGGATGCTTCTAGGAGTGATGTGATATGTGATACCGTCGGCATGTTTCTCTTCTGGACTATGGAGTACCTCCGCAGTGACGCCTGAACCGCCTCAGCTCGTTTCTTTGAATGTGAAGACGTATACTGCTTCATCTACTCTGCTTTCCGCTGACCTTCAGCATGTGATCCATATTTTAGCCGCTTTTCATTTTAATAACGTCAGCCTCCTCGTGTCCTCTTTCTCCCTGTGACTCGTTCGCCCTCATGGAGGATCTCAAATGCACCTCAAGGAGATGAGGAGCGAGGAAACATCTGTGTATCCTACCTCTCACATCCTCGCTGGGGGAGCTAAGATGCAGTACAGAGATGTGAGCGGGAGTCGAGGAGGTGTGGCAGCACATGAAAAAGCACCCACTGTCTGCTGGGTCTGCCCTATTATGTTCTAATCCCACTGCAATCCCTTGAAACTGTGTCAGAGGTGACATGTATTCTGTGTGGAGGATTTGCACAGATTGCAACATTGGCAATATTAATCTGTTTAGTGACTGGTCAGCTGATCTGAGGAGGCTTGAATATTAACATTGTTGTGCAATTTACAATTAGGTAGATTTAGCAAACTTGTGGGAGTAACAGCGCCGAGAAAGCTAACTTATCCATCATTAAGAATAGAATAGAATAGAATGCCTTTATTGTCACTATACACATGTACAATGAGATTGAGAGCAGCTCCTTCAGTGCCATATATAATCAAGTACAAAATAAAGAGCAAAAAAATGACAAAATAGAAGAGATTTAAGTATAAAAAAAATAAGATAAGTTATATATACAGTCTACAGTATAGGTTATATGTACAGTAAGATTTAGAAAAATATTGCACTATTACACTCACTACTTTGTCTACTTCATCACCCAAAAAGCTTTTCTCTTTGTCCTCTTTGAAAGAACTGAAACAACTGGTTCATTAACAAATCAGCTACTCAAATGATAAATAGTCAGTTTTAAGTAAAAGCACCAAAGCTTGCCAATGTAGAGCTTCCAAATTGTGACAGTGCATTGCTTATCTTTGTCCTTTATAATAAGAAATTAAATATTTTTGTGTCGGACCGCTGGTCAGATCATGTTCAACTTTAGAAACTGTTGGTGGGCATATTTTTATATTTTGACATTTGGCCACTATTTGACCAAGTAACCAGCAAATTCATCTTAATTTCAAATAACCACGACTTACAGCCCAGCTCTACTGTTATTTTGCTCATTGAAAGCATCTCTCGACTCGAAACGAGATCCTAATATCTGTCAGACTACCATAACAGCAACTAATCCTAGATATTTTTTTAAACATTTACAAGCATTATATAATTTTGGAATTGTATTTATTCTAATTAGTGTAACTTTACATTCTGTGCAGCTCTACGAGATCTTCTCGCCGTTAGAACAGCAGGTATTGTGTGTTATTGAATCTCTATTGTGAGACGGAAATCATCATTATTCTTTCCATCACTGCGCTCATGACTACTTTCAAGGAGTTTGCTCAGTAAATCCAGAGTTCTACCTCTTGCTGGCACCAAGTGGCAGCAGTTACCGACCTGCTGCCACTTGGTGCCAGCAAAGTGCCATGCTGTAGCCACAACACTGCACAAAAGGACATGATTCAGAAGAAGCTGCAAAACCATGCCCGTCTTTTAATACAGTAAATGACACATATGGGACGACAAACAACAAAACCCAAACAAAAATCAGTTAAAGCTGGTTTGAAGCGCAGTAAAGGTACAGCTCAGGAGTCTTACCTTGTTCACAGTTTTCTACGGTTCCACACTGAGCCAACAGACCATCCAGCACCTGAAACAGAGCAAGCAAGAGAGGAGAAAAGAGTTCTGTCAGTTCACTCTTGGATAAAACTGTAGAAGTTCATGCACGGTGGCAGAAAATGCAACGAGTACAAAGAGAAACAGGAAAAGCCCCCAAAACGTAGCAACTTAGTGTAGTTTATCTTCTTCAATGGCAACCGATTAAATTCCCCCAAAAAAACAGTCTTAAAAAATGACTCCAATTTGATCTTTAAAAATATAAACTTAAAAATCCTACAATAACGTGCACATGAAGAAACAAATGTAAGTACACTTAAAGAAGAATTAACTGAAAGGAGCTTATAATTCGTTTCACACCCTGTAATACTGTAGAGTTGCATCCAAAACAGTTTCTTTAATTGAGATTTGTTAATCAAAGAAACTGCAGAGTAAGAAATTTTACTCCTGAGATCAAAAGTGGGTCTACAAATGGATTCTGGCCTGCTAGAAAAATATGTCCTGAGGAGTCATCTCAGAAGGAAAAAAGTCAGTTTTCAGATGTGAAAAATTATCAAATGACTTTGGATGAATGACAAGCACTGGAACAGCCAGTAAAACCCAAGGATTTACCTTACACCTGATCCACGAGTCACTATTTTATTTCTTTTTTTAATCTTTACATTTTACTCTACATTAGCAATTTGTTTTGTACAGGTAAATACTTTTTTTAAAATCGTTTTAGTATGTCTTTGAAAACACAAA